AACATGGGTAGCGGACTCGTTTGGGTGTGTACAGGTGCGTGTGTATGTACATGATAAACTTAGTTTATTGTGTGGAGGGGAGCAGACAAGTCTGTTTGACTGGTTACAGCTGTCGGCTGGGTTGATAGAACTTGACCTAGTTTAGACGGATTACGCATGACGTATCAGAACATAGTATCCATCTATATATATACCCATAGATCTGCCTACTGTTTGCGTTTGTATGTTATATGCACGTGTGTGGGTATGTCTGGGATTACGATCGCACGTGTGTACGTAGTCGTTCCTTAGAGAGACGTAAGCCTTGGCCTGGCCCCATCTGGTCGGGTAGAGATAAATTGACCGACAATGACGCATGACATAGCAGAACATGGTATTTATCTATATAGATACCCATAGGTCTACCTACTTTTTGCGTTTGTATGTTATGTGCACGCTTGTGTGTATGTCTGGAATTACGATCGCACGTGTGTACGTAGTCATTCCTCAGAGAGACGTAAGCCTTGGCCTGGCCCCATCTGGCCGGGTAGAGATAAATTGACCAACAATGACGCATGACATAGCAGAACATATTACCAAGCTTACATGAATGATTCTGTACTGGGCTATGGCGTGCATTCATATGCGGAAGGTGAACACGGTGTATGGTGAAATATGAACGACATACGTGTGTATTTCACGTGGCAATAGCGTAGATTTGTTTAAGCAAGTAGAGTTGCATGTGTGTTCATAGACAGTGACATGAACACCTATATAGTCGTACATACCTCAGTGTTGTAGTCTTGTATACTATTACACAGTTAGTCACACCTTCATCTTGGCTGTGCACGTTCAGCATAGTCTTCCTATTGGTGTCTTTGTATAGAGATTCAGACTACATATGCTGTGATAGAGTATCTTAGTCGCACACATGCGTCGTACAGACGACTGATATATTTATAGTTCAGTCATGTGTTCTAAGGTTCGTTCATGTTAGTTGTGTATCAGTGTTTATGGTTTAAACCCCTGAACCCTAAAACCCTCAGCTGGCCATCGCAGCCGTACCGTTTCATACAATACAGCCAGGTATGCCTTAGTATATATTTATGCACATGGAGTATATATATATTTTCATATACATGTATACTGCATAGCACCAACAAGAATAAGTACGCATCTACACACGCATTTAGTACCGGATTGTTGACATTACATACCTACCTCGTGTTGTACAATCGCAGCCACGGCAGAGCTGGTTGATTCAGCAGATGACTCGACACTTGTCATTGACATCACTGCAGTGGCTGATGGCGTGGCCCGTCTGCGCATTCTGGAGGAGAGCCCTGTTCGGCCTAGATATGAGGTACGTTTTTATTCTATTTATAAATGTGAGGTACGCTTTGTTCTATTTATAGATAGGAGCTACGCTTTGTTCTGTCTACAATTACGAGTGTGCTACATATAGATATGAATATTCATTATATAAAACTGAGTATCATTGGAGGTAAATTCGTTGTGGCTGACGACGAGGTCCTAAAAGTTGCTAACAAATGCGCGTGAGACGACTTCAAATCTTGAAGCGAGTTCGTGACGTCCTCTTGTCATGAAGTCCTCCACTTCTATTTATAGATCGAGTGTTCTATTTTTAGAATCCAGAGTAATACTGTGTGCTAGTTTATTGCTCTGACTGAAAGCGTCATCTTCTGTAAGGCTTTGTTCGTGCTAGATATGAGGTACGCCTTGTTCTATTTATAGAAGAGCTTTTTATTTATATATTTGCATGACGCTGCGCGCTTGTTACAGTTGCGACCTAAATAACCGACGTACGCACCAAGTACAATCCATTCACCCCAGAGATTGTGACGCGGAGACAGCAACTGTGTACTCTTTATAATATACTACTATCGGACCAATTAACGACTTTTGTAGTTATTTGCGACATAGATACCCAAGATGATGACTGAGTACGGCCCGTTAACCCTGGAAGTTGTGCAACAGGGGCGAGAATCGCATCTACATATCTCACGACCATTCGACCAATTAACGACATTGTACTAATTTGTGACACAGATACCCGACGTGATCACCGAGCACTGTTCGTTGGCCCTGAAATTTGTGGTACAGAGAAGACATTCACATATACATACATTTCATATGTACGACTATTCAACCAATTAACGACTTTTGTACTAATTGCGACACAGGTGCCCGATGTGATCACGGAGTACAGTCCGTTGGCCCTAAAAATAGTGGAGCAGGACAGTGCACACGTGGTAGTAACGAGTGATGACATTCACACAGTTGAACTACAATTCGACCCGTTTGTGGCCAATTTCTACCGAGATGGCAAGCTGCTCACGACTACAAATAGGTGCGTATGGATATATATATATGTACATTATGTATGTATGTATGTATGTATGTATGTATGTATGTATGTATGTATGTATGTATGTATGTATGTATGTATGTATGTATGTATGTATGTATGTATGTATGTATGTATGTATGTATATGTCTA